TGTAGCGCTCAGGACATCCAGTGCTGGGTTATGCAAAGTACCTAGGCAGGCCTGGTAGATCCTGGCTTTACTACACTTGACGTTTGTGACTAAGCCAGCCTTGAAGGGTGTGGGAGGTGGTAAACAAGATGCTAGATGTAAAAGCACTCTGTGAACTGGGGAATATAAATATTGTCTGTGGTCATTCTTCCCTCTGCCCAAAGGAAAGACCTGGGAGGGATCCAGCTGGTTACCTACCCAAGGCAGAAATGGCAGCAGGAATGGCTGGAGAGAGAAAGACCATGCCAGGGCCATTGGCAGAGAAGAGACTTGCCTGGCAGAACTGGGCAATTGGCAAAGCAGGCTTCAGGACCACAATCTCCAGGTGGCCTTATTTGGAGTGTGTCCTTTAGCTTGTCCTCCACTCTGATTTTCCCTGGGTGCCTCCTGGGATCACCCGACTGTCTGTGACTGCCAGGACCTGGAGACAGCCGCCCTGCGTTCAGTCCTCCAGGCTGCTTCTCCAAGAATACAGCTCACAGTCGGGATTGGCATCATTTTTAATCCCATTCCATTCCCATAGGGAAGGAAGATTATGATTAACCCCATTTTACAGATGAAGAAATTGGAGCCTAGGGAGGTTCCAGAATCATGCTCAAAGTCACTGTCAACAGTGCTTCCTTTCCAGTATCCCAACAGCTTTTCCAAATGTATTTATTCACTTGGCAAATATTTATTGAACACCTACAAACCACTAGACTTGTCTTAGGCAAAAGGGATGCATAGATGAATAACAACAGCAGCAAAAGCCACTGAGATGCCTTCCCTCAGGGAGCATACATTCTAGAGAAGGGAGAAAATGAATCAGCTTGCAAAGAAATTAATTAACAAGTTAAGTTCTCATAAAAGAGGGAAGGCCTTTCTCAAGAGGAGGCAGTGGTGGAGCTGAAACCACCTAATGGATGAGGAGGAAGTGTTTCCACGGAGAGGGAATAGCCAGCACACAGGTCCTGAGGCTATGCTGTCAAAGGGAATGTTGGAAGGCCTGTGTGAAGGGAAGGTTGTGAATGAGGTGGGGTGGCGGGACAATGGAGGCAGACGAGATCCAGGAGAGACTGGCAAGGGCCAGAGAGGGAGGGCCTTGGAGACAGTGCGGAGAGTTTGAGTTTTTTTCTAAACGCCTTGGCAGACTATGGAGGCTTTGAGGAATTGACATGATCTGCACAAAAGGTAGGGATTGGACTGGAGTTTAGGCGTGGCAGGAAGTGAAAGTGAGTAGTTCCTACAGAAGAGGCTGGTCCTGGCCTGGAGCTGCCCACACTGGAGACGGAGAGATGGGGAGGGGTTCAGGATTCACTGCTGCCCTGGATGTAGGCGTGGTGAAAAGCCAGGACTCAAGGGTGTGAGGAACTTTGGGATGGGGGCGGAGAAATCTGGCGAAGTAGGTTGGCGGCATGGGCAGGGCTGTGGTGCAGAAATCCATGCGTATGTTCTGGCCATGGTAAATGTGAGATTTGTGTAGGCACTGGGGATTAAACATGGGCTAAAATAGACACAGTTCCTGTCCTCACTTCAGCAGTGGTGTGTGGCTGGTGGTAGCCACAGACGTCTCCCAAAGAGGATCTGAACTGGGGTCCATGGATATGCTTGAGGGGAGTCTGTGAGCTTCCTAAAATTTTGCCTTCCAAAATATGATTAAAATTATTGCTCTCCTCAGTAAAAACACATACATACAGAGTTACACAACCCCTCTAGGGCTTCCTCTCCCTACTGTAGAGCTTGTATTCTGGTCCTAGTGCACTCTGTGCAGATGCCTGCACGTCCTCCGTGATTTCTCACCTTCAAGCCTCTGCTCATGCAGCCCCTTCCACCTGGGAGGACTTATCCTTCATCTCTTGCCCCTGCTGCTTAGCTAACCTCCAGTCATACTTCTTATCTCTGTGCCTTCCCCTGAATGAAAAATGTACCTGGTCCATGCCCTCCATGAGCTTATGGTCTAGCTGGGAAATAGAGACATCAAGCAAGGAATGCCCGTGAAGCGGGATGAGACCTTGAAGGAGAAGGGCAAGGTGTGATGGGGCATCTGGCGTGGCCATAGGTGGTGGTGAATAGAGTACATCAGGGAAGAGTTCCTGAGAGCAGCAACCTCTCTGTGGAGAATGGAAAAAGAAGTGAAGATGTCCTGGGTGGTGGGGACAGGGAGACGACAGCATGTGTAAAGGCCTGGGGTGAGGGAGCATGTTGCATAAGGGGAAATAGTGGGGAGAGGGCTTTGTAGGTTGAGGAAAGGTGCAGTGGGAAGACATTGAGAGATGGGACAGTACATGATCAGCTTTGTGTTTGAGAAAGAGCACTGGCTGCTGGGTGCAGCACAGATGTGGGCGGAAGGGCCAGGAGAGGCAAGCAGGCAGCCGTGTTCCTGCCTTAGCCACCGAAGGGGGAATGCCTGCTCTGCTGTGGTCAGGGTAGTGTGCAGGAGGGCGGCTTGGGCGCTCCTCTCCCCCCACTCTGCACCTTAAGCCCGTGTTGAAATAACAATCATTTATACCAACAGAAGCTGCCTTATTTCCCTCTCCCAGGTGATAAAAATTCATCCTTTCTTGAAAGTAGGCCATTTGGGATATGCGATGGAAAAGAGAATACAGTTGACCCTTGAACAACACAGGGGTTAGAGGCGCCAATGCACCACCCCCACCCAATCCTGTGTGGTCAAAAATCAGCATGTAACTTTGGATTCCCCCAAAACAGTACTACTAGTTACCTACTGTTGACTGGAAGCCTCACCAATAACATAAACCGTCAATTAACACATATTTTGTATGTTACATGTATTATATTCTGTATTCCTACAGGATGTAAATCAAGTTAGAGAAAAGAAAATGTTTTTTTAAACTGTTGCAAATCTCCAGAAAGTTTTCCAATGTATTTATTGGAAAAATCTACATGTAAGTAGGCTCGCACAGTTCAGACCTGTGTTGTTCAAGGTTCAACTGTATGTCCTTGCTCTATGGAAACAAATGGCCTGTTGAGACAACCCCTTTCTAAATGAGTCCTCTAAGCCTGTTCTATGCCTGACAATTCTGCATTGTTTGGAAGTACTTACTGCCATCACTGATGAGTGGTGGGGCTTGCAGACTCCAATATTGCATTCTTGAGCCATCCTCCTATCAGCTTGGCAGGAGGCAGAGAAGTGTGATGTTTATGGGGCCAGGGGAGGTGTTGGGAGACCCACAGAGAGAGAGAGAGGGCTTGGCTGGCTCTTCTCAAGTTGACCCAAAGGATTTCTCTCAAGATTGGGAGATATTGGAAGAATGTAGCACTTGATTCTGGTTTATAACGAACTGGGGAATTAGTAAGGGGGTAGATTTTGGAGATAATAATGCTTTCAAAGCCGTTCCTGTGATCTTCCGTGCTTTAGGGTTTATTAGCATCCAAACATTGGCAGCCCTAGTCAGAACATGCTCAGGGCATCGGAACTGCTTCCTGGAATCACAGTCTTCTACCCACATGGCATAAGCTCTAAATGCAGGCTCACGGGTCAGACAGCCCAAGTTCAAAATGTGATGCTGCCACTGGGTAACTCAAATTCTTTGACTCTCTGTTTACCCATTTGAAAATCAGGATGCTAATATGACCCACTTCACAGGATTGCTGTGAGGGTGAAATGGGATGGCCCGTGCCAAGTACCTGGTACATCCTGTTAATAGTTAGTAGTTGTGGAATGCTTACTATGACTTGTAACTAAACTATCCGGCAACTCAAACTCCCTCCCACCCCCAACCATTTGTTATCTCACTTCTTATTGCCACAAACACTTTGAGATGTCCTTGAATTTGCCAGAATAGTCTCAAACAAGATTACCCCTAAAAAACCAGTGCTTGGAGCTGTGAAATAATCGATTAGCTTTCTTATATGATTGATTTTGCTCAGTATTAAGTATCTAAATCTAAGTAAACATGAAAAAAATGGAGAAAAGCAATAAAACCAAATTTTAAAGTCTGTATCAGTACAGAAAAGGAGTAGATGTTTAAAAAGACAAACTCAGTGCCATCCCCAGTGAAGCCAGAAAACACGAATACTGGTGGTGGGTGTATCTGAGTGATGAGGCAAGAGGTGTTCTCTTTTCTTTTTTCACTACATCTGCCATTTTCCAACTTTCCTTTAAGGAACCTATATTACTTACACACATTTTAAAAAATCATTATTAGAAAGAAGAGAAAAAGCAGTGCAAGTGCTAATGTTGTTTCAAACTTCTGTGAATGTTCATAGCAGTGCAAAATAAGCTAGTTACAGCTTCAAAAAATTAACTAGTTTAATTCATGCTGTTTGTTCACTGAGAGTTAATTTAATATACTTATCCTAGAAAATAATGCATTATTCAGTTTAATCAATATTCATTTGCTTTTTGCATAATCATATTTGCAAAAGCATTTATTAACAATGTGCCTGCAGACTCACAGGGGAAGGCCATGCTATAAGTAGAGTAAAATTTTTGAAATAAAAGAAAAACAATGAATTCATCGACATTAGACAAATAATTGATTCTAATATGCTTGCAGGTTTCCATTTAAAATGCATCCAGGAGTCCTTTGTATATGTGTTTTCATTGGAAGCAACAATAGATACACTGTCAAATTAATGACTATCATGTTAATTCAAAAGGAAATTAAATCTGGGTTATTATTAAATAGTTGGCATATTGGTGCGTGTAACATTGGCTTTTTCTACATAACCTCAATTGACTGGAACAGTTGATGCCATGGATATTTGCAAATGTTTGTTCTTGTGCAGCTAAGAAATACATATTTTTCCATTTTAATACAGATGCTTAATATTATGTAGACACAGATAAAAATTCATGTTAGGTTTTTCAAACATTCAGAATTGAAAAATGTCACCTTTTAGGAAAAAGAGAAGTTTCCTGTGAATGAGTCCTATTTGCATCCTTGAATTTTTCTTTAAGAATATTTTTTATATTGTGAATATTATTTCTCACTGATTCATTTTATGTAATTTTTCAGAGCTCAAACTTTGGAGGAAAACACTGGGAAACTGGATTTAGAGGACTGTTGACTAGCTTCCGTACGGCATTCAGAATGATACCCCTTTTGGAGAAATGGGTAATGTTACAGTGGTTCTTTGTTTCTATTTTATTTGTTCAGTATTTTTTGAGCTTAAGTATAGCTGTAAATATTTTCTTAAATAAAACTATCAATTAAAACTATTATCAGCTAGGTTGTACATTTCCAGAAAACCATAGCTTGGGGGCAGAGATTGGAGGAGGCCAATTCATTATTTTAACTTCCAGATTGTAGAACGAACTCTGAAGGATTTAACATGGCTCTTGTCATGACACACACCTAAACATCATTTTATCCTAAGGAGAAGTGTCTAAAGCCTTAAATTTCATTATTATTCAGAAAGAATTACATGAAAAAGGTGCCTAAGTAAGGTAATACTCTACAAATGGGGGCGGGTTGAAGAGATAAAGTAATATTAAGAAAATTTTAGTAGAATGGTCATGAGATATCTTCCAAATATAGGTGTATCCCACTTAACTACAACTCATTAAGTGGAATATACTTACAGAAGTTACAAATTATGGCAAAAATCCTTCATCTAGCATCTTATGCCTCAACTATGCAGAAAGATTAGGTGTCTTCTCCCTACTGAACTTAAAGGGGCATTGAGCAAACATTGCAACTACTGGTAGGCTTGAACAGGGTTATTAAATAAACAAACAGTTAAGGGATTTCCTATAAGATAAACCCTTTTACAGAAGAAGCAGCTAAATGCTTTGAATTTTCAAAGAAAATATTTATCTAGGGAGAGGTGAGCAGTGGAATACATTTAACAACTAAGGCAATGAACACCATATGCCTCCAGATGTAATCAGAACAGCATTTCTATTTTTTACTATAAAAGTGCAATTTATCTTAAAATAAGTAATTTTTGAAAGCCTTGGTACTTTTTTTAATGTGGTTAAAAAAAACAAAAACCTTGCCACATTCTAAAATGTGATTTGTATTACTTCTTAGTGGCCACAGAACCCTCATGAAAACAGGTATAAGTTATGACCGAGGTTGATGAGGGCAATATGGTTTAATTTACAAAACTCGGCATCAGAGCCAACATTTCTGGAAGACATCAGTTCAAGAAAGGCAAGCTCATCTGTGCCTGAAGTGGCTGGGTCCCAGCAGTTTCAGCTGCTCTCCAAAGGCATCTACTGGGCCATGTCTGTCTTCAGTGTAGTCAATGCTAGATCAATCGTTTGTATCAGTTGGCAAGGTGACAATGATTTCTCAAAACCTGCAGATCATATTCAAATGTAAATGCAGGTGCAAGCTTTCTTTAATGTGCCTACGAAAAATCTTTAAAGTTCCTGAATTCTGTATCAGACTCAGAGGCTTCTCAGTTGTGATTTTAGATTTTAGGAATGACCCTTAATATGAGGGATGGTCACAACTTAATATAAACTGTTGTATATTTAAGAAACTATATATGAACTTTAACTGCAAACCTAAAGGCTATTATAGAAACACAAAAATAAAAAGAAAGGAATGCAATTACCTTAATAATAATAAAAAATAAAAAAAACAAAAGGAATGCAAGTATAACACTAAAGAAAACCATCAAATCACAAGAGGAGAGTATAAGAGAGGAAGAAAGGAAAAGAGGAACTACAAAAAACAACCAGAAAACAATTAGTAAAATGGCAATAAGTACATAATTATTAATAATTACTATAAATAATTACTTTAACTGTAAATCAGCTAAATGCACCAATCAAAAGACATAGGGTGATTGAACAGATAAAGAAGCAAGGTCTATCTATATGCTGCTTACAAGAGACTCATTTCAAAACTGAAGACATGCACAGACCAAAAGTAAGGAATGGAAAAAGATATTTCCCCTGAATAAAAGAGAGAAAAGGCAGGAATACAATACTTAAATCAAACAAAATAGACTTCAAAACACAGTAACAAGAGACAAAAAGGGCATTACACAGTGATAAAGGGATGAGTCCAACAAGAGGATATAACAATTGTAAATACCTATGCACCCAGCATAGGAGTAGCTAAATATATATAAAACAAAAACTAACAGACCTAAAGGAAGAAATAGACAACAGCACAATAATACTAGGGGATTTAATACCCCACTTACATCAATGGATAGATCATCCAGACACAGAATAAAAAAGGAAACTGGCATTCAACAACACATCAGACCAGATGGACTTAACAGATATATACAGAACACTCCATCCAAAAGCAGCAGAATACACATTCTTCTCAAATGCATATGGAACATTCTACAGAATAGATCACATATTAAGGCACCAAAAAAGTCTCAATAAACTTAAGAAGATCAAAATTGTATCAAGCATTTTTTCAGACTACAATGTTAAGAAACTATATATTAGTTACATGAAGAAAGCCAGAAAAATCACAAATACCTGGAGTCTAAACAACATACTTCTAAATAATACATAGATCAATGAAAAGATCAAAGAGGAAGTCAGACAACACATGGAGACAGATGAAAACAGAAACACGACAGTTCAAAATATGTGGGGTGCAGTGAAAGGAGTTCTAGGAGGTACATCGCAAGACAGGCCTACCTCAAGAAACAAGAACAATCCCAAATAAACAATCTAAACTCACACCTGAAGAAACTAGAAAAAGAAGAACTAATGAACTAATGAAACCCAAAGTTAGCAGGAGGGATATAATAAAGGTCAGAGCAGAAATAAATAAAATAGAAAATAAGAAAACAATAGAAAAAAAATCAATGAAACCAAGAGCTGGTGCTTCAAGAAGATAAACGACATAGATAAAACCCCTAGCCTGATTCATCAAGAGAAAAAGAGAAAGGATACTAATAACAAAATCAGAAACAAAAAAGAAGTTACAACTGATATCACAGAAATTCAAAGAATTATAAGAGAATTGGATGAAAAAGTATATGCCAATAAATTGGACAACCTAGAAGAAATGGACAAATTCCTAGAAACATACAATCTCCCAAGACTGACCCACAAAGAAACAAAATCTGAACAGACAGATTACTACTAATGACATTGAATTGGTAATCAAAAATCTCCCAACAAAAGTCCAGGTCCAGATGACTTCACAGGTGAATTCTACCAAATTCTACCAAATTGTTTATGCTCTACTATTAAAGAAGAGCTAATACCTATCCTTCTTAAAGTACTCCAAAAAATCGAAGAGGAAGGAATACTTCCAAATTCATTCTATAAGGCCAGCATCACTCTAATACCAAAACTAGACAAATGTAATACAAAAAAAGAAAATTACAGACCAATATCCCTGATGAACATAGATGCAAACATCCTCCACAAAATATTAGGAAACTAAATTCAATAATACATCAAAAAGATAATGCATCAAGAACAAGTGGGATTTATTCCAGGGATGCAAGCATAGTACAATATTTGTAAATCAATCAGTGTGGTACACCACACTAGTAAGAGGAAGAATAAAAAACATATGATCATCTCAATATATGCTGAAAAAGCATTTGACAGAATTTGTCATTCATTCATGATAAAAACTCTCAGCAAAGTGGGTATAGAGGGAATATACCTCAGCATAATAAAGGCCATATACAATAAATCCATAGGTAACATCATGCTCAATAGTGAAAAGCTAAAAGCTTTTCCTCTAAGATCAGGAACAAGAAAAGGATGCCCACTCTCACCACTTTTGTTCAACATAGTACTAGAAGTTCTAGCTCTGGCAATCAGACAAGATAAAGAGATAAAAGGAATCCAGACTGGTAAGGAAGAAATAAAACTGTCACTATTTACAGATGACAAGATACTATATGTAGAAAACCCTAAAGACTCTGCCAAAAAACTATTCGAACTAATAACTAGATTCAGTGAAGTTGTAGTACGCAAAACTAATACACAGAGGTCTTTTGCATTCCTATATACATATAACAAACTAGCAGAAAGAGAAATCAGGAAAACAATTCCATTTACAATTTCATTAGAAAGGATAAAATAACTAGTAATAAACCTTTAAGAAGTAAAATACCTGTACACTGAAACTATAAGACACTGATGAAAGAAATTGAAAAAGACACAAATAAGTGGAAATCTATCCTATGCTCATGGATGGAAGAATTAGTATTGTCTAAAGACCCATCCTATAAATAATCCTAAAATGTCTATGGAACCACAAAAAACCCTGAATAGCCAAAACAATCTTGAGAAAGAAGAACAAAGCTGGGGGTATCACACTCCCTGATTTCAAGCTATTCTACAAAGCCACAGTGATTAAAACAGTATGGTACTGGCACAAGAATAGATCCACACAGATCAATGGAGAAGAATTGAGAGCCCAGAAATAAACCCACACATATATGGTCAATTAATGTATGACAAAGGAGGCAAGAATATACAATGGGTAAAAGACTGCCTCTTCAAAAATGGTGTTGGGAAAACTGGACAGCTACATGCAAGAGTATGAAACTGGGTCACTGTCTAATACCATACACAAAAGTAAACTCAAAATTGATTTAAGACCTCAATGTAAGACATGAAACCATAAAACTCTTAGAAGAAAACATAGAAAGAATCTCTTGAATATCAGCATGAGCAATTTTTTTCTGGACATGTCTCCCCAGGCAAGGAAAACAAAATAAAAAAAAACAAGTGGTACTCCATCAAACTAAAAAGCTTTTGTACAGCAAATGAAACCATCAGCAAAACAAAAAGGCAGCCTACAGTATGAGAGAATATATTTATTTGCAAATGATATATCCAATAGGCAATAATATCCAAAATATATAAAGAACTCACCACCAAATATGTACAACTCACCACCAAAAAAATGAATTACCCAATTTAAAAACAGGTAGAGGACCTAAATAGATATTTTCCAAAGAAGACATATAGATGGTCAACATGAAAAGATGCCCCACATCACTAATTATCAGGGTCAGGGAAATGCAAATCAAAACCACAATGAGGTATTACCTCACACCAATTAGAAGGGCCACTATCCAAAAGACTAGAAATAATAAGTATTGGTGAGGATGTGGAGAAAGGAGAACCCTCCTTGCACTGTTGGCAGAAATGTAAATTGGT